AGGTTAAAAACTAAAATGATCAAGTTAAAAATCAAAAATACCCCCATCTTCAACCAAGTGTTCGAGTTGAGAGAATCAAGAAATTTCAAAAAAAAAAAAAAAAATCACACAGTCTAATAGTTGGGATCTAGTCGAAGAAGCCATCCTCACAGTCAACTCAACGTCGACCACCACACAATCCGACCATTATTTTCATACAAGGTTAGTTTTTCTGGTTCGGGGATTATGAGATTGATTTTTCTTTTATCATATTTCAAAAATTTGTGAATTAAATTATAATATATAATGTTTATTTTTCATTATTTAGGTAGATTATTTGGTGAAATGTTGATTTATACACGTATTTTGCAATTTGACACCTTATTCTCACTGAAAATAGTGACTTCTCGCCATTTCCGGCTAGAAACAATCGGTTCGGTTGACTATTAAACAGTCGGTTTGGCCAACTTCATTTGATTCCATTTTCGTCGCTCGCAAACGTCAACGGCAACTGTCGTCGACACAAACAGTTGTCAACAATAACTTGTTTGATTTTTTTACTTTGAATTCAAAGTTGTATTTCAATACAATTCGGTGCACAACTTCTTGCAAAATCTTTCTTGGTTTCAAATAGTTGCTCGACTTACAATTCTCATCATCGGGAACCGCACGACAAGAATTAGATGACAGTCCACTAGAACTGTCATTGCGCTCCCGCCCCTCCCATGCCTCTGACGTGATAAAGAAGTCGAATACTCATTTGTAAATTCATTTTCATTGTTGTTGTGAACTATCGACAAAATTCTATATATAACAGCAAGATAACGACGATGAACAAATATCTCGGGAATAACCACATTATCCTCACGAGCTATCTCCAGCGTGTTCCAAAAATCTTTAGCATTGTAATCTCCTCCATCCAAATTTTCCTGTTCACTTTCAACGATATTCTTCTTTACTAAAGTCAAGCAAAGAGGAGTCATGTGCATTTTGTTCAATTCAAATACATAATTCACTTCAGTATTAAAAAGTAATCTTCATAGGTGGAATTGAAATGGATGAATACTCTTTGAATTAAAATCTCAGTTCTATATCGTACTGAGATGGATCAACTTTCAGTTTGTTTTATAAATTATAGTACATTTTCGCATATGATGTACTTGACGTTATGAAAATTGGAATACCACCACGTATACAACTCATCCATTTCCATCCACATCGATCTTTTTTATCCAATTCGAAATCACCATAGTAACATACTGAGATTACAACCATATATGCACAACGAAACATAATTTGTAATTATAACAAAAAAAAATCAAATAATCGGCACAACCACTGGACAACAGAATTAAAAAAAAAAAGTCCTAGCATCTGGTTGCCTAAAGCTGTTAAGATTAGTCGGAATCATTGCCATAAATATACATGCATATGAATTTTTTTCTAATTTATACTTAAAAAATTATAGATCCATTAAAAAAAGTTATCTACATTAATATTTATGTCGAAATAAGATTTATCGATTAAAAATATATACTGATTTAATGAAAACGAAATTAAACATATATAAATATATTTATCAATTCAAAGTGATAGATGTAAAAAAAACTTTATGTTCAGCGTTTGATCAATTTCTGAGATTTTGATATTGAAACAAATAAAAAATGAGATAATTTTTATCCGTGTTGGAATAAACAGATAAGAAAAGTTAGTTGATTTTGAAATTTGAAGTGAGAAATCTTTATTTTTACTTGTTAGCTAAAATGGTAGTATTGTTTTTTAAATAAAATAATATTTTGTAATTGTATTGTTTACTTAAAGACGTCTTTATCTTTTACCATTCAAAAGGTCATTGTGAAAATATGCAATTGTTGAAAATTTAAAGTGAAAATTAAGGGGTTTGAACAAGTCAATTTTAAAAGTACTCCCCATCGACACCAATAAAATACAAATTATATAACCTTTTCCCTCCGCCCACTTCGTCTTTTTCTTTGTATTTTGAGTCTTTTTAATTCTAATGTTTAGCCTCTAAAATCACCAGTGAAAGTTTTCTGTCAAGTTACTCGTATCCATGCTAACTATAGGAAAGTGTTACAAATACGTAGAATTCTTCATGGACTTTCATTAATTATCATTTTCATTTCACTATTTTACAATATGAATATATGACTGCAAGCATTGGGCACAAATCTTTCTTTTCAGAAAATAATACCATTTGTAAGTAGTGCTTACTCATCAGCATTTATATGACAGAATAATAATTGACTCGTTCTCCTATAAATTTGATATACATTTTAATTCATTAGAGGATATGACAATAATTATAATTTATAAACACAAAATACTAATAACATTATTCTTTTCTATGAGTTAGTTACAACCATTCTTGGAAATTTTTCATGGTAGTTATTGCCAATCACATACATAATTAAAAATAAAAGAATTATTTAACAATATAAAATGATCAAGAGCTATATTTTAGGATATTGCTTAGCGTTTGTTTGACATAATTTATTTGAAAAATATTTTTTCTTAAATTCATTTTTAATCACACATTCTATTAATAAAATAATTTTTCACTTGGACCCATAACCTAGTTTTTTTTTTTTTTTCTTTTTGTACTTTTAAAATTATTTTCCACTTCAAATAATCTCCCCAAACAAGCATTCATATGTTATAATTATAGGTTTGCTAATATTGAGTTTTAGGAATTATTTCCTTAATTAATTTGGAAGAATTATTAAGTTATTTTTAGAAATTAAAAAGGGAACAAATTTTTATTCCCTTTCTTTGCTTTCAACATTTTTATTTCTTTTTCTTTTGACTTAAAAGAGGCACCAACACAGTTATCAAGATTGATTTAGTTATAACCCTTACTGTCATGGACAACGATTTTGACAATGACCACAAAAGCAAAGAGAGCATAAATAGTTAAAAATAACATTGATAGAATGCTTAAGCTAAAGCCTAAAGCAAGAATTTGAAGAATCATGCTACAAATCCAGCCAACTCTCTGCCACCAGCTTCATCTCATCTCCACCATCGCCGCCCAACTCCCCCAG